AGGAGTATTTGTTGAGGCATATAGGTTTGCACATGTGACCTATTGCAGAGAAATCCTACAGTATTTGCAAGAAACCTGGCAGCAACCCAGTTGAACAAGCAAGCTATTGATATGTTTGACAAACATACAAAGAGTTTTCTAACAAGCAGCTTTACAATCTTGTGGAAATTATTCCTTCTAGATGGATTAGTACCTGTGAATCATTTTTCAAGACCATTCTTTTCCTCTCACATCCACATTAATTTGCCACTAGAAAGATTAATACAGAAAAGACAAAAAAGACAATGCTATTTTTTAATTTTTTAATCCTCCCAAGTAACTGAGAGCCATATCTGTAATGTATATTATTAGAAATTGGTTCCATGAGCTTTTATTGCAAAATAAAAGTCTAGAAAGTACAAGTGTGCAGAAAAGCAAATCGGGGCTCCAGACCACAAAGGACCTATTCATAATCTAACAATTCATGCGGCCCTATTCATGAAATTCTCAACTAGAGACTCAGATTTATAACTTACACATGGCTCTGATGCAGCTGATGCCTTTTTACACTGCAGGCAGGTTCAAGGCACCAAGTTTACAGAGCACTATACATTCATCCCATCTGTAGGACACAGATAACCTTGAGAAACTGAAGCCTACAGTATAAATAAAACCACCATGTTAATTAGATCAGACTTTCAGCTTGGCCATCTTGGGTCTGAAAGCAAGATCCAGATTCCAGATCTAATTCTGAATTAGTCCTTAGAAGAGTCTTTTAATTGTAACTCTTAAAATATGTAACATGACTCTCAAAGATAATTCACCTTCAAACCTTCTTCATGAAGACATTGTTTTAAGTGGAGTGTTTGTAAATACATTGGCAGCTTCAAGGATGGTGGGCAGATTACTATGCCCTGCTGACAAAAATGGTAATAACAATAAATACAATTTATTTATGCTTATTTAAAAATCTTTATTAATGATCTTACTAGATTAAGCCAAATCAAATGTGGGGTCTGTGCATGCTGCACATGTCTTGATGCTCTCCATTTGTTTGTACAGCTGTGAAATTTTCAAATTAACTATCTGTCAGCAAAAGTAAAACACAGACAGGAAACTGTGGAAAAGAAGTATCAATGGGAGAAAATTACAAAATGGCATTGTGCAACATTAATTACTTTTATGGAACAACTGCTGCTAAAATAATGAGTCTGTAATTTCAAGACAGTACTCCATTAGCAGCAGCAGCACAGGTAGTTTCAACAACTTACTACCATACAAATCCTGAGCATTTATTAAGATTGATAGCAGTCATCTCCTTGTCATTTTATAAATATGCATTGTTAGATTTATAACTCTAAAAATCTCCAGAAAGAGGAAAAAATTACTTCTTAAAAAATACATTATATAGTCACACTGCTCTCCCTGTTTAAAAAATCCATTTTCATCTAAAACTCAAACATTTTGTCTGTTTGTAGCAAAGGATCAGATACATCATCAATGCTTTCAGAATAATCAGATTTTGAAGCATGGTTTAGCTGCTTAACAGTGAAGAACATTGTCTTCTGGGACTTGCAAAAGAATCCTAGTACCTAACATCTTCTGAAATAATCAATTTTTAAATGCTTCCTCTTTAGAAACTGAAACGCTTTTGTATCTTATTACTGAATGATTAACCAATCAAACTGCAAAGTAGCTAGAGTCACAGAAGACAGAGTACCTATTATGATATCCAAAGGTGCTTATTATGCCATTAAGCTCATAATAGCAACATGCAGGGACATCATAAATGGCACCAGAGGCTGACAAACTCCTGTTTCACATCACTCTCCTGAAACACAAATACAGTGTGGCACAGGTGGTATTTTTAGATGCAGGGATTCAGTCCTAAAAAGGCTGTATACAGAAGCAAAAGCTACAAATTTAATTTAAAATAATTTCTTTGAAGTTTAAGTCCTGTGATAGATTTCCCTTTGTTCACCAGCACAAATAGCAGGGTATTCATCCCCAAGAAACAATAATATACAGAACATATGAGTGACTCTTATGCTCTCTCAAGTTCTAATAATTTTCAGCTATAGGGGCTTCCTCTTCTGGGTGGTGTTTCTGTGTATTCAGCCTTCCAAGAGTTCTCTCTTCCAATATCTTATTCAAGATTTACTTGAATGCAGGTCAATTTAAACATTCCTTGACAAGAATTTTCCAACTTGCATGTAAACGAGGTCCCCCTTTCCCCTGTTTGGCTTCCACCAGCTTTATTCAATGTCCCACAGTTTTTGTATAGAAAAATGTATGTGACCCTCTATCACACCACTCCTGATTTTGCAATTTCCATCACATGCCCCTCTTTCCACATGCAAGTATCCTAATCTATCCAGTCACTCATAAAAAGCAACTCCATTATCTCTTTCATGCAAAAAAAGTTATGTCTTTTTTGCCTGCCTCTGACTCTTAAGGAAAGACTACTTTTGCATCACATACCATTTAATCTCCTTTTCAGTCTCTTAAAGCTCTATCCCCAAGTCACATTACCAGTAGTCTCCTATGTATTTTGACAACGTCCCCAGTATCCACAAGTATTTCCACATGACACAAAAAGGAAGTGTTGGTATCAATATGATAATCTTCCTTCCAGATTTGGAAAACACAGTATTTTTGGGAATTTTTTTTACCTCTGTTTTCCCAATTTACTCCACACTCAAAAAGGCTGATGCTGACCTAAGGCATTTCTGAAATCCAAAAGCAGTTCAATGCTCACTAATAAGAAAGGGAATGATACAGTTTAGCTAACAAACTGCAAAACTGACATTGATTTCAAATTTATTGCACAAGCTATTAAACCAGAAGCAATATGATTTAACCTCTGTATTTTGTAGAGTATTGCAATATGAATTTAGGGAATTATGACAAAAAACCTGATGAATCAGTTCATGCAATATTAGCTTTTAATGCCTTCTTAAATCTGTTGCTATAGTTGCTAAACTGCCCAGACAGTGGCGAGACAGCCCCAAAGAGCTGCACAATAAATTCATGATCAGTAGTACATATCAATGAGAGCAAGATATATCATCTTTCTTTAAGAGAAAATTAAACCCAAAATATTATATAAAGCTTTTCCATAGGAACAAGTTCACATACAAGGAAAATCTTTGCTTATGAAAACAGACCAGAACTTCAAGCTTGTGCAAGGCCTTATAGTAAGATTACACACACTCCCTCCATTAACCATATCCTTTTTGTGTCTTCCTCATCCAGATGCAAGCTGGTACAGCAAGCAAACTGATCCTTCTAGCTCATTTTATCAGCTGCTTCTATCTAAAAAAATTAGGAGTTACATATATGGATAGAAAAGTTTCATATCTATTTTGACAGAGGCTGAACTAAATAGAAATCAGTGGCTTCTCCGAGTTGCCAGTGAAATCATCAGGGCACCTCAGTGAAAGAATATGTTTCTGTTTTCCTGTGCAGAACAAGGGTCAAATGGCTTATAAATACCACATTTATTAATACAATGCATTAAAATGATTCAGGGGAGGAATGTGGAAGTCTTTCTATGCTTACCATATTATCCCTTCATAAATTTTCTTGTCAGATTTTTCACCATGAAGACTAGTCCTATTGCCCAAGAGTGCTATACAGGGGAATTAAGATCTGAAAGGATTAATAGCTCCCTAATAGTATACAGTGATTAAAAATCTATTATTCTGCCATTTCTTTGAATTCTTACTGTACTGTATGAAATAACATACATTGAGAAAGTAGCAGTGAGATAGATTTTTTTTCCCTTTAAATGCATTTTCAGTTGTACCAGCCTGACAAAGACCAACAAATCTAAATAATGACCACATATGGGACTGCAAATGTCTAATCAGCTTCTAATGACCTTAGAACACAAAAGACAGTACAAGAAACCCTTCCTTCTGCCTAGGTAGTTCCTAGACTCAGTCAAAAAGACTGCCCTATGTGTTTTCTCACTTGAAAACTACCATCACACTTAGGTGAAGACAAGCCAGACCATATTATAAAGAAGAACTCCAAATCACACAATACTTCTACTAACAAAGACTTCATCATAATTTCAACCAGCAATTATGACAGACAATTTCTTCTACAACAATTATGAACTTGGAACCAAGAAAAAACAACTTACACAGGTGCAACAGACACTAGACTGCCAGTTCTCAGACCAGCTGATAAAATTTATACCATACCCTAATTTCTACAGACAAGTTATGAAACATTAGAATAGAAGATGCATTATGTGATTTCTATTTTTGGCCTCTTTTTTACCTGCTCCTTATTTGCCTGTTTTAGCTTTCAAGGAAGATGTCCGTGAATGCAACCAGAAAAGTAAGAACAGTTTCACATTGAATGTGTTAATGTGTCAACCATTTCATTCTACTTCTCCAAGAAATGAACTTGCTGCACTCTTGAATGTTTCCCCATATGATTGCCCCAAAAGAATACTTCAAATTAAAGCAAGTTTGTGTTCAAATAAGTGTTTAAACTGATCCTCTCAAAACTCCTAAGTATCTTCTAAGTTTCACATTTTCCATATCATTCCTTCAACTCTACCAAAACTCTGTACTTCCAGTACACCAACAGGATCTTGAAACTCAAGGCTCCAAAACTAATATAGAGTTTTATTACTCGTCTCACTAGAGCTGTTTTTGGAGGAAAAGACACCAGTTACTTAATATTCCCCTTAAATAAAAATACAAGGATCAAAATATTTTTGCTATTACCTACCACATCCCACTGCTAGATCTCGTTTATTCTTATTCTCCATATATTACAAGTACTTTTTTGAGTAACTGCTTTGCATAGATATTTTAATAAATAGCAAATTTATTTCCCCAATTTCATATTGCCATTTTTCTACACAGAGCAATTGCCTCCCCATCCATTTGCAGAATCTCTACATATAAAATCTCTTAACTCTCAAAAAAAAACCTCAGGACCAAAATGGTCGGATACATCAGACACAGATATTAAATGCTAGAGTGTTGACCAACACTTACTTTGCCAGGCTTGTTTGCATCAAAGCTGTTTTCTTTTAATTTGTCCTGCAGGGTTTCAGCTAATCGGCAAAGCAAGGCACCATTATCCAATTTCTCCATAAAGGTTTCTGCTGTTATTTCTCTACCTGAACAGCAAACAGAAAGTTAACATGGCAGAAAGCATGTAATGGTATAGACTACATATGTGTAAAAAGAGAAATCAAAAGAAATCTACACAATATTTTGAAATAAGCTTTAACTGAAAAACTTGCATTACTTTGACTATTTTGTGAATGATCTTAATACTACTTTACTGGTAGATATTCAGCAAATTATGAAAAAAATCCCATGCTTTCTTTGGGAAGGCATGTGATATTTGAAAAATATTTAAATAATATAATGATTTAATATAATATTTAAATAATATAATAATTATAAATTTAAATATTGTTTAAATAATATTTAAATAATAAATATTTAAATTTGGAAATTTAGTAATATCCAACTAAACATATTTCACTTTACTCATGAAGATCCAGTGCTTTTAACATAATGTTTAAAAAGAGAAAGTATAGTAGGCAAATGGTTTACACCAGTGTATATGTGTACTTATAGCATAAATTGCTAAAAGTTTATTTTTTAACAGAAGTAGAAAACCATGTCAAAAGGGAAAGGGTGGTATATTTTTAGAAGACCCTTAAATCTTGATTCTACAAGAAGTAGACAAGAAAGTGACTTCAATGCTCCTATGAAAGTTCTTTTTCAGATGTAAAGGCGGGCACATAACAAAACAACAGAGTGAAATTTCATGTTATATATTTACTTGCCACACAGATTAAAATTTTCACTGAATGAACAAAGCCAAAATACTCTGCATTCAAAATATATCAATTCTTATAACACACTACAGGATACAGCACTTCAGCTGCCAGGAACTGTCCTGTTTCTACAACAGGCTGGACAATCTTATATAACAATGTAATTACATCACCCTGGAAGAGGGGACCACATGTTCCATGGTTAGATTGCATGCTGACCCCAGATGAGAAGACTAGAGTAAGCTTCCAGAATATTAACATAATTTTCAGTAAAAATATTCCTATTTCTTATTGAAGGTTTTTTATTTCCACATTTCTACTGAAAATTTTGTCTTTACTTTGAACATTGCATAGATGAACAGCTGTATTTTTCAGCCCCTTTAACTTCCACTGATATCAAGAGAACATCAAAGAATAATTCTTGTTCTTCCAGTTAAGACAGGAATTATTTCCCCCCTGCCCCAGTATTTACGTATGCCATTCAGGAAATAACACAATTAACTTTAAATTAAATAAAATAAAAATTAAAATAATTAATTTTTTTCATAGATTATTACACAACATGCATTAGCAACAATAGTCTAATGTGTCAAAATAAAAAGAAAAATATTCAAAAATTGAAGTGAGACTGGTTCCTCATCCCATCCAGGTCCACTCCTGCTTCCATGAAACTGGAAATACGAGTCTGTTTAGAATAGGTTTACTGCAATTTTTTGTCAAAAATAAGAAAAGTAAAGCTTTCCACTATCTTTTTGCTAAAAGAAGAGGAAAATAACATTCAAAATTAACAAAAATGAAGCGCATAAATTTGTACTGAACTTCTTGCTGATACGTTGTAACTCGATACTTCATGTCACAATACTGAAGATAGCAGCATTATAAAGCAGTAGGATTTTAAAAATACTATAGGAAAGCTGATTTCTCTAGGCCCTTGTCTGAAAACTCTGAGATACTTTAGCATCTTTTGTCCAAAACCTAAAATGTGAATCTTTTCGGTTTGGTAAGTTAAGATAAAGATTGATAAAGATTGTTGCAGTATACCATCTTTAGACAGAGCAGACTTCTATTTTTCACTGAAGCTAAACTTGCTTTTTCTAACACACTTTTACTTCAGAAATAGGTTTTTAACACAAAGATTTTCCCTTTTTTTATTCCCACTTAATTCTACTTGCCATGTAGCCCACTTTAGTGCTCCTGTATACATAAATGACTTCTCCATGCAAAAGAGCAGTAGTAGCACTGCAGACATGCAGAGTTAGCTTATGCCTAACTGATAATACTTTTGCCATATCTACAGATCAAATTAAGCCAGGACTGAAACTATAATAGCCCAGACATAAAAAAACCCTGAACAGCTCAGCATCTCAAAAGACTTTGCCAGCATTCTAACCTACATATTTTTCCATTTTCCCCATCAGCATTTTTATTAAATGCTCTAAAGCCACTAGAACCTAAATGTTAAAAATAACTATGCTACAGGAACTGCTTGAGTATTACTTTTTATACACTCATTTTCCTCTAAAAAATTATTTCAAGTATATTTAACAGACTAAAAATTTTATTTAATTTGCAAAACATAATTTTTCACAAAGGCAAACAAACACCCCCCCCCCATTCTACATAGTTCTTATGTCCTATGATTCATAGATGCATCATTTCATAATAATTGAATGCTATAAAACCCTGAAAACTGATTTAACTGATTTTCTTTTTACAAATATATAGAAAAATAAGGTTATCTTCTTCTGCTATTTAACATTACACTTGTATTATTTTAAGTGTTGAATTACTTTAGCAGTTTGGTCACTACATATTATCACTAAACTGGATTATTTGAGTTCTATTCGCCTTTATGAAATCTGAAAGAATGAGTTTTGCACTGAACATCTGTCTCCAATGAAAAGTATATTAGGTGTCAGCTTTCAATTCATTGTGTTTTATGGCTTCATAAGGTGGCACTTCTTTTCTAAAACAGACACGCTGACATATTTAACAGTAGAAATGCATTGATTCAAGTAAGAGTAATGTTCATAACCTGAGGAAAAAAATTGCTCCATTTATTTGTACGGAAAAAACATCAAACTCCATTAAAAATGTACAACTCCCCCTATAATTACAAGAAAGTAGTTGCAATGTTTTTATAGAATGGTAATAACATTAAGTATAATAAAAAAACAACACCGAAAGTATGAGAAAATCCAGAAATACGAAGGCTTTTGGAAACCTCTCGAGTACTACCTACCCTCTCTTTTACCACAACCACCAGATTCCCCTTAAAAAGTCAAACAGCTTCACCTGAACACCTACACTTGCAAACTGTGAGCAACTGTCTGTAAGGTCCTGGGGGACCTAATAAAACCAGACTGGAGGTCCATGAAAAAATAATGGAAGAGAGTTCATGCCTTGGGTGTGTGCCCAAGAGGTTGAGGATAAGTTTTCCATACAGGTCTCAGACAACAAGAGCCTTCAGAAGAAGAGAGGGACTGAAAGACCCAAGTACCCAAATCTAGTTTATACCTCTATTATGCTTGGTATAATAACCATACTCATAATAACTCAGTACAAGACTGACTCCAGCCTCACAACTTGCTGATGGACTATTTTAATTGTACATTTTGTGTAGTAACAAAAAACTAGTAGTTAACAAATAGAAATATTTCACTCAAGTGATTCTCTGAAACATCTGCAGTACTGAGGCACTACTGAAACAATTATTCCTGACCCCCTCAATTCACATGGCATATAAACCCAAGAAAACAAAATGTGATAAAAATAAAGAAAACCAAGGCCAATTACTATGTATATACAAAACTGGTTCTATTCTGACAAGGTTACTCTGTTCCCTACAATAGTTGACAGTACCAGAAATAATTCTGAAAGCATTGAGACATTATTACTTACTTGAAATGGAACATATAAAAAATTCTAAAGGCATGCTGATAATAAAGAAAATTATAAAGCAACTCAACTAAGTAGGAAACTGTATCACTGCCAGCATAATCACTGGAGGTATCAGTACTGTGAATATCTTGATACTCAGACATTTAAAACCTGAATTTCCCACTGGCTCAATCGGAACAAACTGATGTTGAAAATACACTTTCTGTTGTAGAATGCTCTTAAGCAATAAGGTGAGCAAGAACACTAAGCTGACATAGATTTCATTCAAAATCAAAGAAAGACAGCTTTTGTGACAGCTACAGCCCGTCTGTAGCTGCACAGATAAAACTGGCTGTAACAAACACCAATTTGACCACCCTAGTTTGTTACAGAAGTAAACAAATCCCCAGGTGAGGCAATGATAGGTTGGATTCAAACTCAAACAGGGGGCCCCAGCCAATCCCATTCAATCATGAATGCAGATATCTAATTGGCCAGTGAGCTAGGCAGTGTTAAGGCCCCAACCAATCAGATGTGTAAGCATGGGATATTTGAAGCCTCTATAAAAGGGGATGCCCATCAATAAACTTTGACTGTTGTCACATGAATTGTGGTGTGTTCAGTTGCATGCCTATCTCCAACACCCGTGACAAGTTTTCTTGAAGAAGACTTACCATTCTTCAACCTCAAACTTTACAACTCCTTCAACAAACTTTCAAATATCTAGCCTTGTCTTCAACTTGATGCCTCTCCTAACATCCTCACTTCTGTTCCTTTTCTCCAAGCCTCCTTCAATTTTGCACCCAAGCACCTTTTACGTGCATCAAACAATATTCAATGTTTACAAGTCAAATTCCTCAGCATCTTGCATTCCCTGCCCTCTCAGCTATGAGCTTCTAAAGCCCTCTTGCTGTTAAGAAGAGGTCTCAGGACTGAAATCTCGGAGCCCAGCCTGAGATGTAGTAAGTCGTACAGGCTAAATATAGCTGGATAGAATAAAAAGACAATATAACCCTCTACAGCTTGTAAAAAAACTCTGGGAATGGGGAAAAATATTGCAAGTCCACAAAACTACCAAAGAGGAAACAGGGAAACCATCTCTCTCTACCTATCCTAAGCTACAGGCTGGTGAGGAGTCCCACTCCTCCTCATGTCAGCCATTTAGCTTCTGCAGACACACAAAAAACCCAAGAAAATACTAGAGAGTAAAGCAGACAAGCAAACCTTTCAAACTGCCATTTTGCCTCTTCTTCAGAAGAGTTCTGTGGCCTGTGTGCTAATTCCCATATGCAGCTTGCTCAGAGTAGAATAGAACTTTTCAGTATCCTGAAGAACATTCTACTAAAGTAAGTATATACACTATCTATCAAATTTGAAGTTTGTCAGCAGTGAAAACATTCCCAAATGCTTCACTGGCTCTATACCTAATAGAAACAAGACTAAGAGATCATCATGACTTGCAAGTCAGCTAGGTTAACATACCTCATTAGCTTTGTCACAGTCATTTGACTGAGACACCAAAGCTCAACAGAGAGAAGCAAAGACAGGAGACACAACATCTATAGCTACAATCTTCCTTTCCAGCAGACAAACCACAACACTGACATGTTCCACATCAAAAATGTTCTAATGTACAATATTTATGAGTTAATCCAATCTGACATATGGATTTCATCTGCAATGCCCTTTTTCCATCCCCCAGAGTGCAGACAGCTCAAATATATTCAGCAATGGAGCTGTAATGACAAACTGTCCTCTCAGAAGACCTGGGTTTCTCTGATATGATTCCAAAAATAATTAGCAAAGTGCACACAAAAGTACTAGTGATTACTAAACAAAAAAGAACCAACAACAATGTCCATGCTAAATTAAATATCGAAAGTCTCAGGATTTAAAATTCTTTCAATGTTATTTTCCACCTGCACCATGTATCTCACTTTTCTAATTTATCAGTTGGGTAAGGTCAAATTCTAGCTATGCCTACTTTCTATCTGATATCAAAATACTTCATTCATATTATAAAGTGCCATGTCCCAATAATGTTTTCCAGTTTTATTTTGAACCCACATCATGCTATGCTGCTGCAAAACCATCACCATTTCAACCTCCAGTAACAGTGTATAGGACATAATTGTATGACAGTTATCAGACAAATATCTCATTACTGTATGACAATTATGAGACAAAAATCTCCTAAAACACCATCACTTGATCAAACTACCTCAAAGAGTTTCAGCCCTATACTCACCTAAAATACTATTTTTTTAAAAAATCTCTATTTCTTTGAAAAGATTATGTGTCCTTTTTGAGTCCTAGTACAGATGAATGGCAAAAATATAGATGAGACAAAACATGAACCAAAATGGCAGAAGTTAAATGAAAAGCATATTAATTTCCTTTATAAATTGAGAAATCTTTTTGCATGAAAAATGCCACAAGGCCACTTACAATGAAGCCACACAAGATACAGACAGAGCAAGCTAGGATGTGGATGCACAAAGTATTATCTGATCCGTGTTACTTGCACATCAGTGCATGTAAAGATCTACTGACCATTAATGCAAAATACATTATCTCTTCCACTTAGAGGGGAAAAAGCCCAAAACAAACAAAAAAAGCTTTCTATATCTTCTATCCTTTTGGATGCTGAAAAATGCATTCTGTATATTCATTTCTATTTTATTATAGAGGAGCATGCTCACACATCCCTTCTCTATTTAAAATTTGTCCAAATTATGCAGTAATTAAAGTTTTAATTCTCAGTTAATATACTCTTATGAATAATAATTATTTTAATTCACAATTTATTTTGAATATGAATTTTAACTTAATTGAATTATTAATTTTAATTATATAGGATAGAGTCAATTCATCACCACAAACTCTGAGAAAATGAGAGCTTGGTGCAAGAAGGTGTGGGGGAATGCATTAAGCAAATGAACTGTATACGCTGCTTAATTAAAAGAAGGTTGTGCCCATTTATTTCTGCAGTGCAGAACTTGGTGTCCATATGAAAAATCAGATATTTAATTACAGTTGGCATTTCGGAACCTCCTGCTGGTTGTTACTTTCTTCCTCAAAGAGTGACCTCATTCCTAAACTTATCACTGGTAGAACGCTGTTACAAACTGCAAACAAGCTTCTATTTGTTTTTCACTAAAACTTCATTGTTTAAACAATTTAAACAATATATTGAATCCTTAATGGAATGTGCTGCCTCCAATTCAAAAGACAGTCACTTGGAGAACTGTCTTGTGGTAATTGGAATGAAATGTTTCTGAATTTTGCTCTGGTTTTGCATAGACAATTATATATTCAAAACACATTAATTTAAATGGGAGTACCACACAAATATGTCATTTAAAAGACCTGCCACTTTTTCAGTTGTGGATTCATAACTCAACTCAAAACTGGGTATTGTCTACCTGCAAAATACTGTGTTCTATTGACACTATGCTTATTGACCAGATCTGTCATAAGTGATATTTCCTTTTCTTTCTCTTAAAAATGAGGAAATAGAGCAATATAGAATATGCTGATGAAAGACACTGTTATATCGATATACTGTTATACTCTGTTATTGTATGATATCATTGAGATGGTTTAACTACAGCATTTGCCATGACAAGACACTGCCCATGTCTCAACAGAAGAGATTTTCAGAAAAGTTTTTTAAAAATTAAATAAATCCTCCAAATTTAAAAGAGCACATCCAAATATTCCTCCAAAATCCCATCAACTAAAGTTTCATATAAACATACTTCTGAAATACTTTTCTTCTCTTTATTTAATGAGAGGAATTACTTGCATGTCTCCCTTAGAATGCAGTATTATTTAAGTCATCTATTTCTTTGGTAGTATCCTCTGTATCTACAGAGATCACACAAGAGCCATTTTTCCCTGAGTGTTCACAGCAAACATACTACTTCCTGGCTCATAGTTTCTAAACTCTGCCTTCTTCAATAATTTATACATCTCAAAGTATTGCCTCTCCTTTCTGCCAGGGACAACCTCATTTGCTCTTTTCCGTATGTACCTGATTTTTTTCCTCGGTTTTTGTTTGCATCCTCTTCTGACAACAAGCTTTGTCTTCATACACCAAGATGTACAGCTTCAACCAGTAAATCCCCAGGTCCCAGGTATACTAGGTCAAATCCCACTATGCACAGGCTACCATAAGTCTTAGCATGCATTGCCTTGGGCAGCAGTTATCAATTACTAGACTGTTTGGTCAGAGAAGAACTATTTAATGGTTCTTTCTGTTCAAGACAGTCAGTACACTGTACTCCTTAGGAGGCCTATCAATAAAAATGGAAAACACAGGTGAAGACAGCAATTGGAACCATTCAGCTTAATGGTGTAAGTACAGAAAACATATGAAAAAAAAAAATTAAAAGGAAATTTGAAAGAAAACTAAATACAGACTGTACAATGTTCAGTTATGCTCCTCATAGAAACACAATGGAGGCAAATCTCTCATTAGCTTTTCTGACCTTGCTAATGTTTGTGCTATATGGCGGTAGCTATGTAATCATAACTTGATTTTTGAAACACAAAGAAATCTGAATTCCCAGTGTAAGGAGTTCTCATACTGCCCAGTATCTGCAATTCATCTTATTGTACCTTACCCAGCAGGTTTGTAAGCCACAGGGCCAAATCCTCTTTCATTGGCAGCAAGTTGGCCTCATGTCTACTTGCAAGCCATTGACTATATTGATGCATGTCGGACAGGCCAGGCCCACGTGCCTTCGGGCTCAGGGCAGTGCACATTGCTTATCTGCTTGTTGTACCTGTTTAATTATATTAAAAAAAAAAAAAGAAAAAAAGAAAAAAGTTATTCATTATACCAAATAAAGTCTCAGATACTCCATTTTTAGAATTGTAGAAGACAATCCCATCCAGAATATAATGCCCATCTCTGGAAGCGTGCAAGGCCAGGTTGGACAGGTCTTTGAGCAACCTGGTGTAGTGGAAGGTGTCTCTGCCATGGCAGGGGAAGGGGCTAGAATGAGGTATCTTTAAGTTCCCTTCCAACCTGAACAATTCTGTGATTCAATACTGACAACAGTAATTATGAGTCTAAGAAATCAGATATCAGACAAACAGTCATGGATCTAACACAAGGTTGCAAACACCAATGACTAAAACTTTGCTTTGTTAATGGATTTTTTTGGCAAGTCATTAAATCATACAAATAAATGTTAATTTCATTTGTATCACCAAGCTACATGTTGCCAACAAAACAAAATATTCTGCAAGGAATTATTAAAGTCAAATGAAAGTAAGCATTTTACACAGAGCCAACAACTCACTATCGTGCTTGACCCAATACTCATTCAGATTAATTAGAGAACTTCAGAGATTTTTGGATCATGCCCAGGAAAAAATATGGCAACAACAAAATTACGCTCCTATAGCAAACTTATTAACAATTAATAAATTCTGTAAGCAAATGGAAACAGTCTACCCTACAGCTTCAAAATTACTAAAGAAAAAACTGCACCAAATACATTGATTGAATAGCATTATTTCTTCAGAAAGCAGAAGAACAGCTAGTATTGGTCACTCACACTTGCCACTTCCCAAACTCTCCTCTGCTCCAGTGACAATTTACTGAAATTTTAGTTTCAGGTAAGATAACTAATCTTTAACACATGATTAATAAAGTGTTGTCAGTTGTAGGAGACCCTGTTGTTAGAACCACTGGACCAATAGCTCTATGTCTGAAGGGCTAGTTTTCTACCTGTGGCAGAAGCATGCTAAATCAAAGCTATTTTTTCCTCTCTGAAAGAAACTTGCAGCAATGAGCTGAAATACTGCCTTGCCTGGTAGGCCGTAGCCTACACCAACCAACAGACACAAGGTCCTGTATAGGTGGAACTCGACAGACATTAAATGAATATGAGACCCATATGGAATAATCTTTGTCTATTGTCAGCTGACCGATTCACACCAATTGTAGTAAGACATGTCAACTGGCTTCAGTTTATGATACTCTGCAAACACCTTCTTTCTGTTCTTTGCATACTTTTCATACCAGGTAAGAGATACTTGTGACTTCATAAACAACAGTAGAAAAAAAAAGAGCAATTTTTTATACTATCCATTATGGCCTGAGTAACAAAAATACTGAAAAAATTCTTTGTCAAAAGAGGAAAATATTTACTAAATGTAAAAAAAAAAAAAAAAAGCCTTTCCATAAAATTGTGCTGTAACTGACTTTTCCAAATGTATATAATGGTATTTGGGATATTTTAATACTTGTATTAAAATTCTCCAGCATTTACTCTGTGTAACTCCATGTTTGCAAAAAGATCTGTGTCTAGTTGACAGTACCTCACCCTAAGTCCTGAAGTTTAGCTTGCCCTTGAGACAGGCACAGCTTCCACTACAAATATATTTATATATTTCTTACTGAAAATTAGACCATTTTTTTCAGTTGGGGAGAAGCAAAAATAAACATAAAAAAATATTTATTCTCTTGTATAAACACATATTTCTGAATTATGAGTAGATTTTACATTTCTCTAACAAAAAAAAAATCCTTATGTATCAAAGTTTATTTGAAAGCAGAGGAGTTTAAAGCAGACTATTATGCACAGCTCTGTTGTGAAACTGACCTTGTAAAAAGGTCAGCTTGGATTTATGGCTCAAATCATACCTGTTCATTTAGGGCAGGCTGCAAAGGAGGGGAGGGAGAAGCCTTGGACTGTTAGCTCTGCAAAAATCAGTCTTGAATGTCACTCTCAAAATAGACTGATTCAGACTAAAAGCAACCAACAGCTAAGAAATTTCAATGACAATACATTTAAATTTTCTCTAAGTCATTCAGAAGCACATAAATTAGTCTTTCAAACCACTGCTTCATTTGAAGCAAACAGAAGTAAAACAGGTAACTGACACCAGCTGTCTTCAAAGATTATAGGAAAGATCAACTTTTATCTACCACACACTTGCTTTCCAGAAAGAGCCTTCAAATAATTTTGACCACTTTCTGGAGTCTATAACCTCCACTGAAACAGTGAGAGCCAGAACTGAAATTAGTTTGTTCTCTTTAATTACCTCTGCAATGATAGTGGTAAAATGCAATATAAGTAAGTAAATAAATAAATAAATAAATAAATGAGTTCTTATTCCTCTGTATGTATCTAAATATTTAGGAAAATCCTGCAAAAATACAACAGAAAAAGCAGAACTGCTTCACTGAAGGAACTAATAATACCATGCACCTCTTCAATGGGAAAAATTTCACAGTTCATACTTTGTGCTTTGTGAAGGGGGTTAGATTGGATGACACTTAGAAGTCCCTTCCATTCTGAATTTATTGTTATTTTTTATTTCACAGATGTACAGAGCAATATTAATCATGAAACCCTACACAGGGTCTGCCCTGCTACAAGGGTAAAAATTGGCACACACACTGAGCTGGGTTGTATCAAGAAGAAAACAACAGGCAATACCCTTTTCTTTCACCCTACTTCCATCACTTCCATCACAAGACTGTGTATATGAAGTGCCCTATGGGAACCTGGGGCTAATTGATCACCAACATTATGATATAGCTGACAGTCAGCCAGATACAATACAGGCTGCTGACACTGGTAGGGCTGAAGTAATTCTATGGTCTCAAAGTTACATTTCATTAAGACAAGACAAAACAGAAGGAAGGCTTCTTAAACAGCTACATAGAAGCAGTCTGGGTTTCCACATCAGCCTGTGGAAGAAGCACTGTAATCTATTTACACTTCTGGCCTGTTTCTGTGGAAATGCAGAATAGAGGATTGGTGGACTAGGGATGCTATTTCAGTTTGTCTCTAAAATACAGCATTGTCTTTATAATTCATACTATCCTAACTCAGCAATCAGGCTGTGTAAAGTCCCAAGAAACTATTGAGGGAAAGAAATTCCTTCCCTGAAACTATTGAGGGAAGAAAAGTGGGAGAACAAAGATTTTGGAAGATGCAAGGGTGCTTCAGTTTCTTAGTAACTGTAGTAGTAAGAAGAAAAAAAAAGAGACAAGAAGGGTATTCTGAGTTTAAGGCAGTTTTCATAAGACACATTCTCAGAAAGAGAAACTGGAAAGATAACAAAAGGCAGACAGGTGACAAAAGTCTCTGGAAGATGAAATTGATTCATGCATCTCTATATTGGGACTAGGTCTTCTCAAAATAGTAGCCCCGAATTAAAATAATGTATCACTAACTTCTGAAGTGGGCATGCAAAGTGAGGACTGGGGAATGAGAAAGTTAATACTGATGAAGAGCCTGAAGAATTACAGATAATTACATACAAGCCAACCTTACCTCTGTATAAGTTTTATTTTTATTTAATTTCAAAAAAAATCCCAAATTTTTCACTTCCCCACTACTTGTATGAAAAACTGCCCTACAGGTCAGTAAAATCCACAAAACTCCTACCTTGGACTTTTAAAATTAATAATTCTTAAAAAATGAAAACTCAGCTTTCAAGGAGCAGAGTATCTCCTGTCACAAACTCTTGTGACAGGTAAGTTACTGAAGGTAAGTTATCAAACTGCAAGCATCAGAAACTTTTGAGCTCTGAATTATTCTTCATGCAAACACTGATTGCTACTGAACTTGTTAAATTCAACTTAAGCCTTCACAATACTTCACTATTGAAGTACCCAAGTTTCAGCAAAAAGTTCATCTACTTCATCAGTTGTACTAGCCCATACATACTAGTACTTCATCACATATTGGCTGGGATCCATGAAGAAGTCAAAATGAGATAATGACAGCAACTGAGTCCTGAGGTCCTTCAAGATCTGTTTGAAGACTCTTTCTCTGGTGAAGGCCAGGCCCTTGTTTCATCACTCAGAAACCTTCAAATCTCTTCCTTAAAATGTCTTAATATATTTATTTTAGTGAACTGAAGAAAAGTTTATTGACAATTTATCAGCGAAGAATTTGGTCAGAGAAATGGACTAATTTGCATCAGAGGTAGAGAGCAGCTTTCAAGGATATATCACCACACCTGAGGCAAGCCTTTGGCTCCAACAAGCATTTCATTCTTTTCTTTTGGCAGACAAAGTATGAAGGAAGTAGCCAAAAAATATTGGGTTTCCTAATCTCACTACATTCTAACATGAACATCAAATCATCATATATACAGCTGTTTAAAACTAGCCAACACGAGCATGTCAGATATTTTATAGAATGTTACACTTCTCTATAAAATGTTGAGGCTGATGTGACATGCAGAAGCATTTTCAAAACTTATCTCTAAAGGCTTTAAAGCAACTGCTTCCCCTTACTTTTCAGAACATAGACAAGGAACAGTCTTTGACTACTTTTCATCCTGTTTTGTTACAGCTCAAATTTATGTAGCACAACCCTTTTTTGGACATCTCTCAATAAGAGGATGGCATCTCAAATTCTTAGCCTTATTGTCTAGATGAAGAATTCAGTGTGGGATGGTTTACAGAACACCCAGAAACGTGTATCAGATTCCACACACTAAAAGGTCCTATTTCTCTCTGCTTGCTACTACTGAACAGTGAAGTTCTTATTTTGCTTTACAGTAGTGCATTTACTTATCTGTGTATTGCAGATCACTGCTTGTATTTTGCCAGCAGTGAAACATTACACTATCTGATAATTTTATCAGTGATCATCAGGTGAAAGCAATGTGAATCAAACAAGTGATCTTCTGTGTTTCCACTGGCTTTTGTTGGGGTTAATGGGTAGGAAAAAAGGAATCAAGAATGATACACTGTACTAAAAACACACAGGAGGCAAAGACTGTTTAATCTAGACAGTAAAACTGGATGCACAATGAAGCACTTACAGTTTCAGATCCCCAGATTCAATTCCCTTTCCTACTCTAACAATCCTCCTTAACTATAAAATTGTGGTAATTTTCCTCAACCAAGTATAAAAAGGAGGAAAAAATATTATGTTTAGGAAAAAGATATAAAATATATAAAAGCTTGCATGTATGCATATACAAAGAAAACACATGTGCTCCACCCTGGTAGTTAATCATATAAACCAATAAGTTTTTACTCCAAATTACCCATACAGTTTCAGCTTATATACATAACAGCTTATACTGAGTAGCTGCTGGCTTCACAGTGCTCTCTGTACCGCATGAGTTTCACTGTCACTTCAACCTGATTCCCAATTACAACATGTGCATTAATTCTCAAAGAAAAAAGGGGCTTGAACCATTTCTTTCAGCTTGCTCCTACATACAATCCTTCCAGGTCAGGAAGGAAGAAGTCTTGCTGAGTCACTTGCTCTTTTTGACTTAAGAATTAGCATAGAAGTATCCAGTGAAAAGAGCATTTTTCTTTGTAGGCAGTTACAAGAGAATAAAACTAAGTTAAAAGTGTCTATGGAGGAGAAAAGAAAATTCATAAAGCAAATGCATAACTCCCTACAGTGATCAATCAAATCACCTCTGACGCAAAGCTCCTACATGATGTGCCCTTTGCACCGTAACAGCTTGACAGGGACACTGTGTATAGACACAGGTTTGGCCCACCCAGGCACTACTGTCTAGCAGTGTCTACTTGTTGACTGGCTCCGTGCAGTTGGCAGCCAAACCAGAGTTATCCAGGACTGAAGATCTGCATATATGCCAGTTCAATGACCTAGATGGATACAAGAAGATGGCATAACTCTGCCTTGAGTCCCGAGTTCAAAGACTCTTTTTCATAAATCTAGGATTAAATATGCAGGCTTTAAGCATGTGCACTGAGATCTGTTATAATATGACTGAAGAAGCACATTAGGCACCAGCTGTAGAAGAAACTAAATATCATACACACAACAGTGTAACTGCTTTACTGTCAGTGATAGAGGAAACAGACAGCAACTTAGACAAAATCAGCAAGTTTTTCTCTGAAGGAACTGGAACTTGAGTGCTAGACTGTACATTGGCTTTGACAAAGGGGTATCAGCTCTAAATGCAGACAATCTCCTGCTGTCTTAGAGAGAAGGTAATGCTATTGGAAAGCAGCCAACCTGGAAGGAGAGGAGACAGAGGATCAAAAGCCAGAACAGAGCTCATGAATGTATCTGGCAAGGGTCTCTGCTGGATCTCCCTGCTAGTTCTAATCACCTCAAGCAGATGGAAAAGAACAGAACTTTTGAAACTTTACTAGAGTTTAAGGGGACTGTGTAAAGCAGTCACTAGTTGTAACAGCAAGTTGAGTGCAAAAAAGGCGTAAGATTCACTATTCATAAACAGATTAAGTTGCAGAACAAAATGCATAATTGTGCAAGTAGAAATGAAGTTGCCCACAATTTGGGACTCATATTGCAATCACCACCTTCACATCATCAAGTGCCAGTTTTATAAATATAGCACAGCCAAGGATAAATATATTCACATTTTAAAACTTAAGTAAGTTTTCCAGTCTCACTGTTGACATAGTTTTCAGATTTGGAGAGTATAACATCAGTTCACAGACTAAAGGCTGGTCTTCTTTTTCCTCCCCCTCCCATATATATACGTATGTGTATACACACACATATATGCAGAAAGAGGGAAAAAAGATATATGAATGCTTTCTTTAAAGAGACACAAAAATAACTAATAAATTTTGATTTTTTAATGTTAGGAAACTGTTCCCTATGGTGAGATCTGCTAGACAGTGGAATGATTTTCCCAAATGAAACTGTGAAACTTCCCTTTCTTGAAATCCTAAAAATGGACTAAAAGAAACAGTAAGAAAATAACCACAAACTTGCCACTCACTGTTAGATGTTACTTAGTCAATATTTACCACCTTCAATTTCCAGTTTACTACACTAGTAATCACTCTCATTTTGCCCTTTTGCATATGTAAAAACAAACACAATCATTTTTAAAGTCATTCTGCTACTACCTTGCATATCTCCTCTTCAAGAGCTATTTGCGGACCTTTCCCTTCTGTAAGAAACAGCAGGTCGTTATCATACATGTACCTTACATGTAATCTTAGCTCCCTACTATAAACAAGCAGATAAAACATATGCTGACAAATGCAGCAAGCATATCTTTATAAGGAAATTTAATTTTTCTAGATATTTTATTATCCTTATAAACTATACCACAAGCAATTTAGCCCAAGGTTTCTGGAGTTTTCCCAGATTAACTTGGAGCATACTGAAAGTTAGGAGCAGGGGGAGGGGCACTGAAGGGGAACCACCATCTGAAACTCATTAATCAATTAGAATTTTTCATGGCTTACATCAAAATGTGATCTGTTCCGACAGAGTAAGTTCTAATCACAAGAAGCTTTTGTCTTTTACATTATGAATATACATTATAAATGTGCACAGTACTTCAAGGGGAGGATGGAGAGCCTGGCACAAGATGGAGAGCTGTCTTAGTTTAGAGCTTACAAATATTTTATACCTGTAAGGCCCTTGGTTTGAGGCCAGACCAAAACAAAGTTAACTGCACTTAAAAATCTGTTCTAGTAATTGGAAACCTAGACATTTCCAGGACTATGCCTAGTAGAAAGAATTTTATTGCCTTGATAATGACTCCCTTACCAAAAGGAAAGCAGAAAGTCTTTCTCACACAGACAGAAACAAAACTTTAGAAATATTCAACACGTACCTGCTCATAAAATTATAACTTCTGGAAACAGAGCCTGATTCCTAACACTGTCTGAAACCTAAGAAGTTGATTCCTCTTTGCCTGGCTCTTACTGTATGTTTATCTGCTTGTCTAAACAAAATAGCCATTAAAAAATAGTACAGAAGAAGTTTCAACCTCTACCAGTTAGAAAAAGAAATACATATTTAAACTGATATATCACATCTTACAGAGTAGAAGTGTCTCTTGCTGCAAGGACACTATGCAGACAGTACTACAAGCTGACTTTCAATCATCAGCTTTGCTTTTATTTATGATGTTCCATTTCTAAATCCTGTCCTAAAATTAGTGTTAAGTTTAACTGAGAGGTGTAAAGTGGAGTTGAAGAGGTACTTTGGATAGTAAGTGTGCCAATTTAAATAAGACTGTAGGTAAAATAAATAAAGTGACCAAATAAGTCAGTAGGATAAAAAGTGGCAGGTAGAACTTGAGGATAGTATTGACTCTTCAGCACTTAACCACCTTCATACAGGTTTGACCATGGTTCCAACAAGGGCAGTATAATCCTGATCAGATGGCCTATGGCACTGAACATTATGAATTTAGGAATGTCCTATTTAGAAACTTCCTATTAAATCACAATCCACATAACAAAACCCTCATAAAACTGTTACAATTGGCACAGCATCTACTTCACAACAAAACAAAAAAAGACATCACTTAATGTACATGAAAAACCAATAATACTTTGTTCATTTTTCATTGCAAAGTAATGTCAGAAGTATGCTGAAACTGCACGGGGGAGCCTGCAATGCATGCGTTCCGGTGTCCCAGGAGCTCTAACTCCCTAGGAGCATGCAGAGACAGCAGGTTAAGATGACACTATTGCATTAGGATGCACATAGCAATCCTAGATAGAGATAGCTATCTATTCATTCCTTACACGTACAGCGTTAGTGAAGAAACAGTGCCTTCTTAAAAGTGAAACTCTGTCCTCGGAGATTCGAATCTAAAGCCTGAGGAGGAAACCAAGAGCCCTGAAAGGGCGGCTTTTGGCACAAGAGGGGTCTCGCCCTCCTGCCTCTGGGGGCAGCGGAGGGGCGAGCTGGGAGCGCTTGGCGCAGCCGCCTGCGCTCCAGCGGAGCTCGGCCGCCTCCCGCACCGCAGCTGCCGCAGCTTCACATGCGGACGCTCGCATTTCCCGCGGGCGCTGCAGACAAACCCGCCCTCCTCCTCTCGCACTACCAGCAACTCAGGGCTGTCTAGAAAAGCCACAAAGATAAACCAGAGGTTGGGGCCAGGGTTGAGTGCACAGTAAGAGCCACCCCCCGTCCCTTCTTGCCCGCCCCGCTCTCACCCGCCGCGGATTCCGATGCGTTTGTCCTCCTCGGGGCCCCTCCACAGACAGGCTGAGTTAATGGCTTTGCCATGAGTGCTGAAAGTGCTGCTCCCAGGTCTGCCCCTCGGGGGCAGGACCAAGCAAACCCAACGCAGCCCCCGGCCCTCCGCAGGATGCCCAGGGCAGCCCGCTAGCAACTCGCATCCTCACCGCGGTGAGCCCCGGGAGAACCACGCGCGGACTTCCTCCACGCACACTCTCATTCCGCCTCCACCATGCTTTCAAACACCCACGCTCAGAGAGCGAGAGGAAAAAAATCCACACCAAAACCCCACCAACAGACAGCAGCAGCAGCCACCCCCGTCGTGCGGTGTAATGCCCACCGCCGAGCCCTGCTGCTCCCCCGACATACCCCCGCGGCCTCTCTAGGACGGGGGCGGAGGAAGGAAACAAAAGCAGCTACTCCCTACCGAAGAGCCGCCGGGCAAAGATCACCTTCCCGCTTTGCTCCGGCCCCTTTCTCTTTAAACTCGAGAGTAGCCGGCGAGACACATGAAACGCCCTCAATTTAAAGGAGCCCGCGTGACTGACTCCGCCGTAAGGCCGACAGCGAGCTCCACTGCTGGGGCAGGCAGGGCTCCTACCTTGGCTGGGGCGGGGGCAAGAAGGCAGGGCTCCCACCTTGGCTAGGGCGGGCAGGAAGGCAGACAGGCAAAGCTCCCACCTTGGCAAGGAGTGGGGAATAGGCAGGCAGGGCTCCTGCTTTGGCTGGGGCGGGCAGGAAGGCAGGGCTCCCACCTCGACTCGGGAGAAACAGGCAGGGCTCCCACCTTGGCCCGGGCAGTCAGGCAGGGCTCCCGGCGCCGCCTCCAAGGCCGCACACCCTGCCCTCTCGCCCCCAGCAACCGCCGCTGTCCCCTCCAAGTGCAGCTGAGCGGCCGCGCTGCCTCTTCTCATACTTCTGTCCGCTCAGCTGTCCTTCGGAAACCCAAAGGTTATGGTTGGGTTTTTTGGTTTGTTTGGGGTTTTTTTTTTGTTTTGTTTTGTTTTTTTGTTTTGTTTTTTTTTTGTATTTCTGGTGTTGTTTGGGGTTGGTTGTTTGTTTGTTTCCTTGTCTTTGTTTGGGGTTTTTATACACTCTCCCCCTCCCTCCTTTTTATTTATTTTTTTCTTTCTTTCTCTGACACCGATTTCCTATCTTTCAGCAGTCCGCATTGATTGAACGGAAGTTTAATACTTAGGTTTTTTTCAGAGGGACGGCAAACGAAGTTCACATGAATTTACCCTTGAAATGCTGAGATATTCTATTACAGCCCTTGGGAGTGAGTTGATTCTTGATTCTATTTCTCTTTTATTATTGTTCCCTTTCCAAGACTCGTGGTTGTGGAAATGGAAAGAAAAGAAGAAAAAATGTCACATCCAAGATAAAACTCTGTTTTTTCTTTAGTTTGACTATTATCTCTGGAATTTTTTAACACTTACAGACACATCTTGTAATTGTCACTTTTTTTTTTTTTTCTGGCTAAAGAACTATTTTGTGGAACTTTATTAATTGCATATTTCTCCAAAACCATTTCATGCCACATGGTACATCTTGAATAAAAAAGTCTGCTGTTCATAAATTGATCATTCATATTAGACAGTTTAAAGAGTGATGGGTAGAGGTTTGGGTTATTCTTGTTATCTGTGCTTCATTTGCCAGTCTAACTTTTAGCACACAGTTATTTTAGATATTTCATTCTCATCTTATGTCATTTTTGTGATACTTCAACATTTTGCTAAATGTGACAGGTATGTCATCAGACAAATGCACTGTTTGTTCTCTTCTTCCCAGCACAGCAAAGACCCTTTCTTGAATTCAATAGCAGGAAACAGATGTTCAGACTTCTGCTTCTCTTAATACATGAATGTAGATTGTCTTGTTGAGTTTCCTAATAGTATCATGCTGCCACTTTCAATAAGTGTTCTAGAAGTTCCAGTGCACTTATTTTTCTCTTTCAGTGTAGAGTCACTTAATTAAATTGTTCTAGCCAAAACACATTATGTATAATTATACTGAAAGAATTGTTTTAACTTGATTGCTGAAACACTTATCAAACTGACCCTTATTTTTTATTTACATTAATTTCTTTGTGCACTGATCTGCTGGGAAAACTTGATTTGTGTAACTAATGCTGGACTATTTCTCAAAAATTGCACTATGAGCAAATTCCTGTTCTCTGAATAGCAGATATTTATTCCTGGCCAATCAAATGCACTCTTGTTGTTTATTATATTCCTATACTATTATTATGCTTTTTGATGGACAATTAACTGCTGTGATGTGTGCTACTTAAATGAGAGCATTTCATCAGCGTGCTGATATAGTTAAGTATGATGAGCTCTAGCCATGTGCTATATAACAGCATGGAATTAAATTACCTTCTAGTTTTGATCCAGTTAGCAAAATTTTAAGGCCCCTGGGCATGACTGTTTTCATTTACTCAACCAATTTTTTTTCTCAGAAAAAAAAAAGGAAAAAAGCCCTAAAAATACATCCTAAAAATGCACTGGGTTGGAACCGATGGTGAGTTGATTTGTGCATGCACTTGATTATTTGTGATCTTACCATTTTTTACCTGACCTTGAGAAAGATTTTATTTGTTACTTAATAATGAGCAACAATTTAAATCCAATTTATGTCAACTCAATATAAAAATATGTCCCTTATACTTAAAAGTCCTTGCCAATTTCTAGAGAAGTTGAAAAACATTCCCCTAAGCAACAGTTACATCTTGATTAGAAGCTCCTCATGGTTCATGTTCTCTTGAAGTTACAAGATTTGTAATCATTTTAGGAGCAGTTCTGCACAGGGAGTTAAGCTGAGGCTTTTCCAGAGGCCGTGCAATAAATCTTGTGTGAGCATTTGCATAGGTACCAGTGGGAAGGACGAGAAAAGCAGTTGTAAGATTTTGAAGTTGGTTGTGTGCTCCTTTATATGGTCAGTGTGTACCAAAGGAAAATCTAATAACATGAGAGTATTCATAGATACTTTATCTATGTATCTTTCTCTATTGAGGATTGATAGTAGACAAGCAATATGTAACATCCAGTACAAGAGTTAAGAAAAAAAAACCTGACAGATCAAATCTTACTCAAGCAAGAGGGATGGAAACACAGTGCCAAGTATGCATCTGAAGTGTCCATTATATGAATGCTATGTAAGTTTCAGTAGCAGCATCACAATTCTGAACAAACTGAGATTCACACTTCTTCCACCCATTAGCATTAGAATTTGGCTTTCCAATTTGACACAGTAACTTTGGTGCCCCAACAGAAAGACATTTTCTACATGAGGTTATTTCAATAACAGCCTTGCTTATCTGTGCAGAGGAAATAAACAAAACTTTACTAATGAAATGCTATTGTTGTCATTAGTCCTCCACATAATCAATCATAGGTCCTCATACTTTCAACCTCCACGTGTTCTGATATTTTTGACAGTCTACTTCCAAATAAATAAGAGGATGAATGGGTACATGAATAAACAATGATTTGAAGACAGACAAAGGAAAGGAGGAGAAGAGGGAGGACTTAATGTGACTAAGGAAGGTACAGCATATTTGGAAGTCACGTGTGCACGTAGGAAAGCTGAACAATATTAATATCACAACAAAATGTTTCTGTGTGTTGTCATCTAGATAATATTCTTTTCCTATTGTTAAAATTAATTCTCATAATAGATGTGTGTATGTGGCTGAGGTGCAACAAATTCTATTTAAAGATGTCATAAGCTTACTATGATTTAGGACAAATTCAGGATTCAGGATTAAAGATTCTGAAAGAATGGTTGCACATTGTAAACCTTGCATAGATATTTGGAGATTAAATTCTGGAGCACGAGGTCAGCAAGGATGACCACAATGGCCCATTTTATTTGCGTAATTCCTCAGTCTTTTTCTAAAAACTGTCTTATAATCACCACCTCTGATGACCTGTGAGTGCTGTATTTTTCTGTGACATCAGGATTTTCTTATGAAGGTACCTTGCAGGTAATTTACAAATGGGAGAGAAAATCTACCTAGATCAAAGGTTTCTCAATGCCCAGGGAGCTGAAGCAGCAGTCACTGAATGGGAAGAGGAAAAGAGACCAAGAGAAAGACAATGTAGAGTGGAGGATGGCACTCAGCAGGCAGAGATACAGGAATCTCTTGTCATATCTGTTGATCCCACTTTCCTGATAATTTTCCAAATTTCCCAGACACTCCTTCTTCCATATATAATTAGTGTCACAACTGACCAGAAAAAAAATCCATCAAATATAACAGATACATTGAAATTAATGACTGGCAGCCCAATTCTGTATCAATTCCTAAAGCATATACATTAAAGAGGACATATGTTGGTCAACTGAGAGAAAAGAGATGGGATAGAACAATGGAGTTGAGTAGCAGAAATGCTCTGTAAAGTGTATATTCAGTTGAACCTGCTGACTTTCTTACTTTTTGCCATTAAAGGGACAATATAATTATATATAATTATATATAAATATATATATTATATAACTATAATTAACTGAAAATAAATAAGTTCGCAGTGCAGAAATAGATTTGCTTTGGTTTTTTTTTTCAGTACATGCCACAGAAGTTAAAATTCAAAAAACAGAGTTAAAGGTGACTAAAAATTGCTGATACTTGAATCCGTTTGTTAGAATATGAGCAGCTACAATGAGTGCAGAATGTGTTTCATAAATCATCCAGTATTGCCCCAATGTTATAGTACTTATTTTGCCAAAAATTTCCATGTCTTCCTTGAGTTTTAATAAAAGGAGAGTTGTCAATAGCTTTGCAGGCCTGAGATCAATAAATATATATGTTATGGAACTTGCTGAAATAGACTGCACTAACTGGTGTCAGATACACCTTATTTTAATTTCTTTTCTAAAACAGTTGGAATATAATGTATAAATCTCAGTTAAAATTTGTCCTTTGCATAGCAATTTTAAGAATAGTGGAAAAAATTAAATTGATAGAATTTTAAATTGTTTCAGTTATGCATCATTTACTATTTTCTATATTTACTATTTTTGTAATTTAATTCCATCCTCTTATAATTCCTTTCAACATACACAGTGCCTTCACAGTCAACTGAACTTTTATCAAACTTGCAGTGGAACATTCATGTTAAAGGTCTATGAATAAACTTCAAACAACTCCTTTACCATAAAATGTTTTGTCCTTCCATCTTGTAAACTTAGTATGCAAGAACGGTACTTTCTATCCTTATAATGATATATAACTAAAAATAATTACAATTTTCATGAAACTTTGGTTTTAGTCTTAAACATGAGACTGAGTATTGTAATCTAAGAGAAGCCAATTTTCATCATTATGAGTCCT